GATCAAAGCTGAATTTTCAGCATCATTACTCCAGTCTTTAGTGTCACATGACCCTTCAGAAATCATAATATGCTGATTTGCTGCTCAAGAGACATTTCTTCTTATCAGTGTTGTAAACACCTGAAGAGACTTCTTTAAAAAAACATTAACAATCTTACTGTTCAAAAACTTTTGACTGGTAGTGTATAGTCAACTTAAATTGTGCTCTCATTTCTAGCTTTTAATTGGCTTAGAAATCAGATAACTGCTGGACAATAACCAATAATAATGATTTGTTTATATACTACGGACACTTTTTTTTTTATCACATAAGGCAGAATAGTTTCAATACTGAAATAAATGCTATGTCAGTTAGCACTGCATTGTTCATATACTTTATTTATAATCCCCCGCATAATCTACGCCCCTGGGTACCACATTCATTCGGCTCACTGCAGTTTAAAGCCCACGTTGGCATTAAAGCTGTTCAACAGGTGGGAATGATTTTCAAACAGTAGTTTATTTAAAGAGTTGACAAGGTAATAACTCCGTAAAGAAATTGAAAACTTATGTCTAAATTCTAGCTGTCTATTCTCAGTCTGTCTCTAACAAGCCTTTTAACTAAAACCATGGTACCGTCATTATGTACAGTGAAAATGAAAAATGGATGAGTCAGTCTTTTCTGTGTCTCTGCTGAAAAACCTTAGAAACAAACAAAACTCTCACCCCAGAACTCATTTCTGTTTTATATAGTGGTCTATGATTTTTGTCTGACTAAACTATTTTAAAACTGATTGATTGATTTATTGATTAGCAGATTACAGAAATAGTATTTTAGCAGCATGAGTACCTACACAGACAGTTGATCCTGTGAAGATGTAAAATGTATACATAAATCATCAGAAAAGAGACCAATGTGGGATGAATAAACTACTACACAATTCACAATTGTTTAATACATCAAATGTACTGCAGTACAGCACAGTGGATGAAGCACATCAGCACTGAAAGCACAAGAAACGGATATGAAACATTCCCATTCATTCAACACAATGCAAATCACCACTGACCAGATAACAGAGAATCAGTTTGATCCACTGAGGTTCACAACATACAACACACAACAATATTCTCATCAACCAATGTGACGTCAGACAGTGAATTTCAGTAACTCTCTCTTTATTTCTTCTTTCCTTGCTTTGTGTTTGTTTCCAGTTTTGTATTTGTTTTGCTTTGTCTTTTTGTATTCTGCATTTCTATTTGTATAACTAGTCACGTTCCATCATTGTATTTATTTATTTAGTAGGCTAAGTAAAACATGAAATATATACTATAAACTATGACATATATCCCGGTGGATTTAAATAAATCACTTTTTGTAAATCGCAAACACGCGTTACAAGCAAACATTAACATTCATGGATTAATGCTTCACACCGCTGATTCTTCACTGGAACCAAACAAACTGCAGACTGCAAACAACAAAATGATTGAGATACACACAGCCTCACTTCCTGTTTGATGTTGGCATCATCAACTTATATGACTTTATAGAGGCCCCAAAAATAATTTACACACTTAGGGTTTAATCACACAAACTTATTTCAGAATGAACCAAACCCAGTTCAGTTCAAGTGAACCAGGGAACCAGTGGCGAGTGACCACATGTGTTTGGTGTTCACAATGCTGTTCGTGCATAGATATCCCTAAAGTTGCAAAGACTAAAGTCTCAAACCCAAAGAGATATTGTTTATAAAAGTTAAGACTTGTCCACGCCCTCCTAAAACGACTCGTTCTAAAACGGCCCCACATGTCTATGTCACTGTGTGGGAAGATTTGCATAACGCCGCCCAAATGTTCACGCAAAGAAAGAAGGCGTAA